AGGGGGGGGGACTGTGTCCGTGGGGCTACATGGTAGGTCTACCTGTAGTGTCCTCCCGCGGGCACTAAGGGGTCTCTCCGAGTCCTACGGTTAGCGTAGGACTCTGGATGAGGCCCAAGCACGCCCAAGTTGGGCGGTGCTGGGCACGGCGGCAACGCATCGCCGCTGTGCTGGTGAGGGGGTGTCTTTCGTGGGGCCATGCCGGCCAGGGCCTCCCATGCCGGACGGGCCCACGGAAGATACCAGCGGACCCTTTCGGGTCGTGGGTTGGCGTGCCTTCAAGGCGGCGGCGCGGCAGGGTTGGCCAACTCGGCCTCCCTGTCGGGCAAACATCGAGGGCGTGGCACGGACGGCCGTTCTGTCGGCCTCCTGCCAAGTATAGGTAGGATGGAGCGTGCGGCAACACGGTAAAATGCAGTGGACTTAGGTCGGTGGATGGCAGCCTTTAAGGCTGCGCGTCAGTGCTAGGGGACCCCACCCTGTATTAAAAAGGCGGTTTCCGGTGTCCGAGAACACTGGGTATGTATGAAATGGCAAGTTCAAATAGTATTTTACCCCAGGAGGGTACCACGTCCAGTGGAGAATCCCTCCCAGAGGTCGTTCTGGCAAATCCTGTCAGTTCGGCCTCTGGCCGGCCCACGTATTCTGGGGGGGCCAAAACCTGCTATAAATACAACACGACTACGGCAACCAACATGGACTACGATAACGCACGCGATTTGGACACGGTGTCTGGCGGTGGGCGGGAGGCCCACGAGGAGCGAGGGGATGTGATGGACCTAGACGAAGAGCTGATGCTGAGCGAGTCCTCGACCGCGAGGTCAGGCAGCTGCAGCCGTCAGGGCAGTCCTATGGCGAGGAAAAGGAGGGGTCGGCCGCCCAGTACCCGCACGTATGCAGGACTGGCGAAGGCCAAGCACTTGATCCTTGATGCCGAACAGCTGGACGAGGATCAAAGCCGGGCGGAGGCGAACGCGGCTGCGAGAGCCCTTGCGGCGCGGGCTAAAACCCGAGCTCGGATTCTCTCGAGGTTGCTTTCGGACGAGGAGGACGAAGACTTCCAAGCGGCCGGTTCCTTGAGCCAAATCATTAAAGAAAATGTCGAGGTGATCAAGAAGGTGGCCTCCACCTCGAAAAACCTTAAAGGCGGATACATCAAGGCCCTTAAGGACGCGGCTGAGGAAATCGCGAAGACTGCTAAGGTCCTTCATAGCAGGAGCGTTTCCGAGGAAACGAAGGGCCTGCAGGCGGCGAACGCCCGTCTACTAGCCGAGGTTGCACAGCTCCGGAAGGAGGTCTCCGAAATGAGGGAGAGGTTTACTGCGCCTGTGGCGAGACCGGAACCGCGGATTGACAGCGAGGACCTTGTACGCACCATCCTCTGCCAAGTGGGCACGATGGTGAATGCAAGGTTTGAGGCTCTTGAGGACCGGCTCCTGCCGGAGAGGCGCATCCGCCCCCCGCTTGCGGCGGATAACAGACCCGAGCCTGTGGCACAACGCGCCCCGGTAGGCCCAAGCCCAGGAACGAGCGGACAAGCCTCGGGCAGTACCCCGGTCAGTGCCCCGGAAAAGACTGTAGGGAAAGCCCCAAATAAGCGTTCCAGGACCAGGGCTAAGACTAAGGCGGCGGAGCCCCAGGCTCAGCCCCAATCGCTGGCGGCAGAGCAACCTCAGCAGTCTGGTGAGCTGCCGTGGAGCGAAGTGGTTAGGAGAGGGGCTAGGGGAGGGAGAAAGGCGGGCCAAACTCGGGTCCCCGCCAACCCCAACGCCCAGAAGAAGAGAGCGCCACGAGCGCCAACGGTCAGCGAACCGAAATCTGCTGCAGTGGTAGTTACCATAACGCCGGAGGGATTCTCAAATGGCCTCACGTACGACAGCGTAATCGCGGAGGCCAAGAGAAAAATAAGACTGCAGGACATCGGGATCACGACCGGTGTACGGTTTCGGGTTTGCGCCACCGGGGCACGGCGTTTCGAAGTGATGGGTTCAGAGAACGGTCCGCAGGCGGACGCGCTGGCGCAGAGGCTGGCCCAGGTATTTGATGGGAGCCTGGTCCGCGTCTCCAGGCCGGCTAAGACGGTGGAAATTAAAGTGTCGGGCTATGACGACTCGGCCACCGTCGAGGAGATCCTGGCTGCAGTAGCGGAAGCGGGGAGTTGCCCGAGAGAGAGCCTCCGTTGCACCGGGGTAATCCATGACCGATTCGGGGTAGGGCACGCATGGATTGAGTGCCCGGTCGCTACGGCGAAGAAGGTGGTCGCAGCTGGCCGTGTTACCCTGTCCTGGGTGTCCGCCAGTGTAAAAATGATGGAGCCTAAGCCACTGCGCTGTTACCGTTGCCTCCAGAAGGGGCACGTAAGAGCGCAGTGCAGCTCGGACATCGACAGGAGCAACCAGTGCTTCCGGTGCGGGGTGGACGGGCACAAGTTTAAAGAGTGCACAGCAGACCCGCACTGCACCATTTGCGCTGCGGCCAAGAGACCGGCGGGTCATAGACTGGGTGGCAAGGGTTGCTCTGCACCAGCCCCCCCCAGGATCTCCAGGAGAGTAGTTGCAAGCCAGCCCCAACCAGCACAACTGGCACCAGCGGAGGTTGACATGGAGACAGAGGAGGTCGACAACAGCGCCAATGGCTCTTAAGGTCCTCCAGGTTAACCTCAACCATTGTGCCCGGGCCCAGGACCTGTTCATTCAGACCATGGTTGAATGGTCCACGCAGGTCGCCGTGGTTGCTGAGCCCTATTTCATCCCCAGCAGGAGTGACTGGGTGGGCGACGTGGAGGGAGTCGTTGCGCTCACTGTGCCCCGGTCCCCGAGACCCCTGTCTCTCGATGGGGTTCGAAGGGGCCGCGGTTACGTGGGTGCCACGGTCGGGGGCACTCTGGTCATCGGCGTGTACTGCGCCCCGAGCAAAACCCTCGCCGAGTTTGAGAGTCTGCTGGACCATATTGGTACTCTCCTGCGCAGAGATCTCCCCCATTCCGTGCTGGTGATGGGGGATTTCAATGCCAAAAACTCGGCCTGGGGTGGCACCGTCACGAATGCTCGGGGTGCGGTGCTGGAGGAGTGGGCCCTGACCACAGGACTCTGCGTCCTAAATCGGGGGTCGACACCCACTTGTGTCCGGCCGCAGGGCACGTCGGTTGTCGACCTTACGTTTGCCTGCCCTGCTACCGAGAGGCGTGTATGTGGTTGGGAAGTGGTTGAAGGCGTAGAAACCCTTTCGGACCACCGCTACATTCGCTTCGCCTTGTCGGAGACGCCCACGGCCCCAACTGCTCAGAGGCCCCAGCCGCCTCGCAGGGATACCCCACGATGGGCGCTGAAACGGCTCGATCAGGAGGTTCTTGCTGAAGCTGCCCACGTGGAAACCTGGCTACCTGCAGACAGCTCGCCAAGTATTGACGGTAGGGTTGCCGCGCTCATTGAGTCGCTGTCCCGAGTGTGCGACGCCTCAATGCCTCGGCAAGGCCCTGTCCCGCTGAGGAAGCATGTGTATTGGTGGTCTGCGGAAATAGCGGCACTGCGCACAGCGTGCGTAGCCGCCAGACGCCAATACCAGCGGCAGCGACGGAGGAGGCGGAGGGACGAAACCGTCGAGACCAGCCTCCTCAGCGCGTACAAAGCTGCCAGGCATAACCTCAGCCGGGCCATCCGTGAGGCGAAAGACAGGGCGCGCGAAGAGTTGATCGACTCCCTCAACATGGATCCGTGGGGTCGTCCCTACCTGATGGTGCGTGGAAAACTCCGGGCGCAAGCGACACCATTGACGCAAAGCCTGCCGCCCCAACTCGTGCGGGAAGTTGTGACCTCCCTTTTTCCGCACAAAGAGGCACACCCGCCGCCCTATAGGGTACCGAGGGATGGTAGC